ACACCGAGGTGCTACATAGTGGACTGGTCCACCGTGTTAACGGCTAGGCCCTTCGGGCTACCACTCTGCCTATCCCGAGTTTGGAATGCCTTCCAACTAAGTGCCAGGGGATAGTCAGGCCGCCTGCATTTCTGACTACCATGTAAACCAATTGGACTAAAGCCCAACTGACAGACTTCCCACAAAAATGTTGATAACAGCAGGAGGGAGGAATCGAACCAAGGAGAGGAGGGAGTTGCACCCAACCACCCTGGGCCCGCCAAGCCACCAGCCCACCATCATGTGGGCATCTTCTTCGTGTTTGTCTTAATATTGCTTCCATTAGTCATTACGTGTTTGTCTTAATATAGCTTTCCAGTTAAAATACATTGTGAAGTATGTGATTTTGTTACTTTTTCTTTTAGCCTTATCTTTTCTTCTTCTTTGTATATCCGCAAAACATTTTTCTGTCACTTACGCAAATAGTTTATCTTTTTTCTTTTAGCCCTATCTCAATGGGATCATGATGTTTGATGTTCAAGGTTGATCGAAGCCATAAGATCTCCCTTCACATGAGCTAAATAAGAATTAGAGATTTCAATTGTGATTCTCTTGAAGAATTATGCTTTGTCGGACTAGTGCTTGAACGAATTGCTGGAGATGCAAGAACACCGTGGGAAGTGTTTGTTAGCAAGAAAGCTTTTGACTTTTTGAGAGAGAATGCACGTCACCGGGCATGGACATTTTTTCATTGTGAGTCACCTTTAACCAAAACTTGTTATAAAGAATGATACTTATTAAACTTAGGGGATAAGATTACCAGCACCTCTCCTAAAACGTAAAATATATAATCTAATATAAACTTGAGATAATATATTGGTTGTGTGTCTTTGTGTCATGGAAGAAGTCAAATAAGACAAAAAAAAAGTCAATGGTGAATCCATAGACAATTTTTGTATATCCGATCTTCAACTTTTCTCGCTACTCAAATCTCATGGCTTCTTCTTCTTCTTCGTCTCGCACGTGGAGATACCGCGTCTTCACGAGCTTCCACGGACCAGACGTCCGTAAAACCTTTCTCAGCCATTTACGAAAAGAGTTTATCTGTAATGGGATCACCATGTTTGATGATCAAGGGATCGAGAGAGGTCAAACCATTTCCCCAGAACTTACACAAGGGATCAGGGAATCGAGGATCTCTATAGTCTTACTATCAAAGAATTATGCTTCTTCCAGCTGGTGTCTGGATGAGCTGTTGGAGATTTTGAAGTGCAAGGAAGATATGGGACAAATAGTGATGACTGTCTTCTACGGAGTAAATCCATCTGATGTGCGGAAACAGACCGGAGAATTTGGTATGGCTTTCAATGAAACTTGTGCTCGTAAAACAGAGGAGGAGAGGCGAAAATGGAGCCAAGCTTTGAATGATGTGGGCAACATAGCCGGAGAACACTTCCTAAACTGGTTTGTTTGTTTACAGTCAATTAATTTGGGATTTTCTCTTCCATGACTATATGATGAACATGGTGATTTATTTCTCTTGTTAGGGATAATGAATCGAAGATGATTGAAAAGATTGCTAGGGATGTTTCAAACAAACTAAACGCTACACCTGCTAGGGATTTTGAAGACATGGTGGGACTGGAAGCACACTTGAAGAAGATACAGTCTTTGTTACATTTAGATTTGGAGGATGAAGCTATGATTCTTGGAATCTGTGGCCCTGCAGGCATTGGTAAGACAACCATCGCCAGAGCTTTACATAGCCGACTCTCTAGCAGTTTCCAGTTCACTTGTTTTATGGAGAATCTTAGGGGAAGCTACAATGGTGGTCTTGACGAGTATGGTTTGAAGCTGCAATTACAAGAACAACTTCTCTCCAAAATTTTAAACCAGAATGGTATGAGGATATACCATTTAGGTGCAGTACCGGAAAGACTATGCGACCAAAAAGTGTTTATCATTCTTGATGACGTGGATGATCTGAAGCAACTTGAGGCTTTGGCTAATGAAACTAACTGGTTTGGTCCTGGAAGCAGGATTATCGTAACCACAGAAGATCAAGAAATTCTGGAGCAACATGATATCAAGAATACATACCATGTAGATTTTCCAACTAAAGAAGAAGCTTGTAAAATATTTTGTAGATATGCTTTTAGACGGAGCTTAGCACCATGTGGTTTTGTACAGCTTGCCGAAAGAGTAACAGAGCTTTGTAGTAACCTTCCTCTGGGTCTCCGTGTCATGGGTTCAACTTTACGCGGAAAGAAGGAAGGTGACTGGGAAGGTATATTGCATAGGCTAGAAAATAGCCTTGATCAACAGATCAATGGAGTACTTAGAGTCGGATACGACACTTTACATAAGGATGATCAATATCTGTTTCTCCTCATTGCATTCTTCTTCAACTACCAAGACGGTGATCATGTGAAAATAATGCTCAGTGACAGTAATTTGGATGTCAGTCTCGGTTTAAAAACCCTCGCGTATAAATCTATTATACAAATAGCTAACGACGGAAATATAGTGATGCATAAGTTACTACAACAAGTGGGTAGAGAAGTGGTTCAATTACAAGATCCTAAGATACGCAAAATCCTAATAGATACTGATGAGATTTGTGATGTCCTCGAAAATGGATCTGTAAGATTTTCTTTACAACTTTTTTTTAATATATCCATTAAACCATGTCATTTGGAAAAACACTCTATTGTGCTAATGTTTTTTTTTTTTTTTGAATATTAATTAGGGTAGTAGAAGTGTTATGGGTATATCTTTTGATATATCCACAATCCAAGATGGCGTGTATATAAGCGCAAGAGCTTTTAAAAAAATGTGTAATCTTCGATTTCTCAACATTTACAAGACAAGATGTGATGGAAATGATAGAGTGCATGTACCAGAGGACATGGGTTTTCCACCTCGTCTAAGGTTACTACGCTGGGACGTATACCCTGGAAAATGTCTCCCTCGTACGTTTAGTCCGGAATATCTTGTGGAACTCAAATTGCAACATAACAAACTCGAGAAGCTTTGGGAAGGAACCCAGGTTGGTTTTTATATTTGCTTACTTTCGAATACTTGAAGTATGTGCGTTCTCTCATCATGTGTTGATGAAATTTCCTCTTTTGTATCGTTTTACATTCAGCGGCTTACAAATCTCAAGAAGATGGATCTGACTGAGTCCCGGAAGTTAAAGGAACTCCCGGATCTTTCAAATGCTACAAATCTTGAGCAACTGACTCTGGTTAGTTGCAAGAGTTTGGTAGAACTTCCTTCTTCTATTGGAAATCTTCATAAATTAGAGTGGTTGCTGGTGGGTCTCTGTAGAAATCTACAAATTGTTCCGTCTCACTTCAACTTGGCATCTCTTGAAAGAGTCGAGATGTATGGATGCTGGAAGCTGAGAAAACTTCTAGATATTTCCACGAACATCACAACACTCTTTATCACAGAAACAATGTTAGAAGAATTTCCTGAATCAATTAGGCTTTGGTCTCGCCTTCATACTCTTCGTATACAAGGCAGTCTCGAGGGATCACACCAGAGTGGCGCAGGTATTAAGAAAATTCCAGATTGCATCAAATATCTTCATGGGTTAAAAGAGCTTTATATAGTTGGCTGTCCAAAACTTGTATCGCTGCCAGAGCTCCCTAGCTCACTCACAATACTACAAGCAAGCAATTGTGAATCACTGGAGACAGTATCTCTTCCTTTTGACTCTTTATTTGAATATCTTCATTTTCCTGAATGCTTCAAATTGGGTCAAGAAGCACGGAGAGTAATTATCCAACAATCATTGTTGGCATGTCTACCCGGAAGTATAATACCTGCAGAGTTTGATCATCGAGCTATTGGTAATGCCTTGACCATCCGATCAAATTTCAAAGAATTTAGGATGTGTGTCGTGGTTTCCCCTAGACAGCTTATGAACGGTCCCTTATTCTGTCGCATACACATAAACGGTTTCCCTCTTGATGAAAACATAGTTCAATATTTCTATATTCGTACGGCACATCTGTGTATATCCCACACTGAATTGCTTGACAAGTACGGATGGCTTGAGCAGGACAACGAGATATCATTCGAATTCAGCACCTCATCCCATGAAGTCGACATTATTGAATGTGGTGTCCAGATCTTGATGGACAAAACCGGCAGAATCCTGGACACTGTGACATGATTTATTTATCTGTTTGGATTCTTTTCCAATGTTTCTTTTCTACTGGTTCAGATCATAATGATAAAATCGAAGTATATCTGCAACGAATTTTTCAGTTTTCATGGGAATATCAAAGTCAAACTAAGGATTTCAAGCTATATTATATGCATGTTTTAGACTCCTTTAAAATATGTAAGATTATCTTTAATCTTTGTGTTTACTTGTACTCATCACCATCCTCAACGTCATCTTCATCATCCAATTATTATCATCCTGATCAAATAACATATTACAATCTCACAGGTTCTTAAATTCTAGCACAATCTTGCGACTACGATTCTGATTTACTCCTCTGAAATGTAAAGAAGATCATGTGTGTGCAAATTAAATGTCAATGCGCTTATGAAGGATAGATACCTTGTTTTTCCCCTTGAGTGTAGTTTCGCAATTTGCACTTCTTTATGCAAGTCAAAAAGCTTAATAGTTGATATTTGTCTCAAGCACCAATGTATATATGTCGCACACCTCTTCGCATTTGCCTAAATGTAATGCGAGTACGAATCACTTGGAGAGTGTATCTTTTGCTTTCTACACTCCAAATGTGCACCTCAATTTCAATGTTTGCTTCAAAGAGAATCAACAATCATTCCTTAATGGGGTAGATACTGGTCGAATTTAGCTGCACATCCTACGAGATTGTTAAATACAGAGGAAACAAACAAGAACACAAATCAGAGCAATGAATATGAAGATATCTATTCCGTGAATCGAGCAAACACCTCATGGCATTAGCAGCGATACGGTTAAGTAAACACGAATGTACTGTTCTGCAAATCGAGTAAACACCTTATGTTTCTATATAATTCAAAATGTTTTGTTCTCGAAATCAAACAAAAGGGGAGATTGAACGCCTAAACTGTAATGTTTTCATCTTGCGGTATTTACAGACAAGACTCGAGTAGAGAATGTTTCTGAGGCCTGAGTTGTTGTTCAGTGACGATATGTCTTAACCGCCAGATCTATTCGTCTCCGACAAAGTGGACAGCTGGTCAAGTGGGAGGAGCATGCAGTGCAGCAGCACATATGACCACACCTGCGAGTACCAACCACAAGCATTTTAGCAAGTTGCAAATGCAGAATTAGCCAAAAGTGGCGGAAGAATGCTTACGGAACAAACACAGCGTTGTACTCCTGCTCTAGGCATATCACACAGAGATCAGGAACAGCGTCTTCTTTCTTGGTAGAATCTGCAATGCTCTCACGTGCCCCGTTTGAACCTGGTGAGAAGATATTTGTAGTCAGAGCCAGTGCAACCTATATGTAGATAAAAAGATTTACCAATGGCTACCTTCACTCTCTAGCTCAGCTCTCTTTGCTGCTGCATCAAGCACTCTGCAAAAACAGCTGGCTGCTTAATTTTGTGTGGACATAGTTTCGAGAGAAACAAACCGATCTATTAACAGTTATTCACTTTTAGACAGACAAATCTGTGACATACCTTTTTTGTAACTGTCTCCGACGTCTTCTCTCTAGAACAGAATCAATGACATGCTTCGTAATTAGGAACACACCAAAAACAGTAAAACCCATAGAGGCATATTTGTACCACCTGTAAATTATACTCTTATCAATCAGTTTGGCTCATCGCCGTTTTCTACAAGAGTATAGGAGAAGAACCCAGAGAGGAAAGAGACACGACCTTGACCATTTTCCCAAATTAGAAATGAGTTGATCGAGTGATTTAGGTGAGACGTAGAAAGGCCCCCTGTCAGGTTTTTGAATCCTGAATTCGCCAATATCGTCCTTGACAGCCTGTCATACATGGCAGCAACACAAATTTAGAGTTAAACTCATCCGTATGCCTCTATACAAAGATCAATCCCGCTTCCTACAAATATTGCTTTTAAAGGAATTTTGAGAAAACTTTAACTCCAACATACCTCACCAACAATTGTTAGTGGTATTCCAGTTGGAAGAACACGCTCAATCCGCTTAACTCCAAGCATCTGAAACAAAACAATGGCCGCTTAAGCAAATAGAGATGCCAACAAATAAAGAACCGGAAAGAAAAGTAAAAACCTTAAGTCCTTGAAGATAATCAAGTGTTCCTCGTACAAGCGAGCGTCCTGACTCTTCAAATACTTCACTTCCAACAGTCAAGGCAAAACCCGTTGCACCACGAGCTCCCATTACATGGACACGACTTGTCCCATCGTCCTATAGCACACAGTTTTGGAATTTGGAAATGGTATTAAGAAACATCAAATCACAGCTGTTTGAAACACTATGCTACTACATTAGGCTTACCAAAAACCAAGGAACCTCTTTGCTCATTGATAACATCAATGCACTATCTTGTACCCACGAACCCGTCTCATTATGTTTCAGAAAATGTTGTTCCGCCTGTAAGAATCATGCAATTACTAAAGTTTCACATATCAGCGAAAACAAACAAAGTTTCATGCCTAATCATCAGTCTACAACATACCGTTTCTTCAACAATAACACCGCGAATGCCACTATGCTCGCATTTGATAGGTGTCTCAGAGCCGACTCTTCCTGATACCGCAACAATGAAAGGCAGAATCTTGCTATCTAATTCCAGCAATTGAGCTACAAACACAGAGCAATGCCTAAACAGGATTAATAATCATTCTGAGAGTAGATGGAGATGGAGTAATCAGTGGAGACGAAGATAACCTAATTCCTTGAGCTGATTAACCCTAGTGACAGTTTTCAGTACTTCAGCATCCCTACACTCAAAGGATAAGAAAGGATTTGATTGATAATCTCACACTTTGGGAAGATGAAATCAAAGGAGATTAGAGGTAAGAAAAAATCACAAACCTGCCACTACTCCGGCCGAGAAGATAAAGAGCGGCGGCGCTGAGGCAGCAAGTAACTCCACCCCAAGGAATCATCAGACTCTCAAGTCACTCTTACTTGTTTGAAGAAGCAGAACAATACCTTTGAAGTGATTGATGAGTAGAGAGATAGAGGTAGTGTTCGAATCTGGATGAGTGAAATTGAATGAAATAGAGATGAGAGCAAACGAATCTGGATTAGAATACAGAGCGATGGAAGAAGATCATGAGAAAATCTGCTAACGAGAGCTATGAGTATGAATCGAGGAAGAGTTTGAAGAATTAGACACTAGAAGCAGTGAAAGAAGACGAGAATTTTGACGGGGAAAATTGAAAGATTCAGAGTGTTGGAATTGAATGATCCTTTGCTTCGATCTCTCTCAATATTCTCAAGCACAGGGTTTGGGGAAGACGACGATATAGTCCCCAAGCAACGAAGCTGATGACGTGGCCACTTCCCAATCTAATGGGCCTAATTGTTTTTACTTTTTTGTGTGTGTGTAGGCCCAATTAAGACGCATGAGTCTTTTGATTTTTTTTTTCATCATGCAATTAGGTTTCATATTCATGGATCAGTCTATTAGTTGTTTTTTTTTTTGGGTGTAAAGTCTATTAGTTGTTGTCTACCCAATTTGCAATATGAGGTGGTTCTTGACTTGAAGTTTCTGCGTTATTTATCACGGATTGGAAGAGGTTTATAGTGTAATCTCTTTCGTTTTTTTTAAAAGCCATTGCAATAATTTGGAGCAAAACCTTGAATCATTCAAATGTGAAAAGACTATAGGAAACGATTTTGTAGTTTCCTATAAGCTTTCAAGACTCTTTAAGACTTTAGGTAACTTCACCTGTTTTCAAGTCTTTGTGTGAGTCTACTATAGATTGGGTCATTTTTCTCATTTTTCTTTTCGTACAAATGCCTAGAAATTTAAGCTTTGACGAGGAAATAAATTCTGAAAATAAACAAAACCCTTCTCATCAGTTTTTCAACTATAAACATTAGCCTTCTAGCTCAGTCTAAAGATTGAAAAGTTAAAGACCAGTCGAATATTGGTTTAGACGTTTTTGTAAACATTCTGTTCCCTTTGCAACATTTTAATTTTTATTTCCTTTTTCGAAATCTTACCTATTACTCTACTAGTCACTTTCAAGAACATTTTTTTGTTTTGGTTTAACGTTCCAAGAACTTTGAATGTGAAAAGCTCAAATCTTTCAAATGTGAGAAGGCATTAGGAAAATTCCTTTAAGTTCTCGAAAGTCTCTGTGACTCTAAAATCCTTTAACAAATAAAGTCTTTGTGACTCTAAAATCCTTTAACTAATATATACTAGATTAATCTTTCTGCCTGATGTGAGACTTTCAAATAAAATGAAAAATGAGTGCAATAGGAAACTTCCTATAAGTTTCGAAAGTCTTTCCAAAAACACATTAACATAAATATTTTATCCTTCTCTATTGTTGTTCGTAATAATTATTCACACCTTTGAAATTTCGTTGAAAAGGCTAAGAATCTTCCCATCTCGCTCAACAACACCCGCTTGCAATATTTCTACTCCATAAAAGGCTTATCAGCACACATTAAGATATTAAACCTTTAATACGCACATTTTGAACCACTCACGATCCTCATTCTCATGGCTTCTTCTTCTTCTTTGTCTCGCACGTGGCGATACCGTGTCTTCACGAGCTTCCATGGGCCAGACGTCCGTAAGACATTTCTGAGTCACTTACGCAAACAGTTTAACTACAATGGGATTACCATGTTCGATGACCAAGGGATCGAGAGAAGCCAAACCATCGCCTATGCTCTTACTCGAGCTATTAGGGAATCAAGGATCTCGATCGTGGTGCTCTCAAAGAACTATGCTTCCTCGGGCTGGTGCTTAAACGAATTGGTGGAGATTTTGGAGTGTAAGGAAGATATGGGACAGATCGTGATGACTGTCTTCTATGGAGTAGATCCATCGGATGTACGAAAACAGACTGGAGAATTTGGTATCGCTTTCGATGAAACTTGTGCTGGTAAAACAGAGGACGAGAGGCGAAGATGGATCCAAGCTTTGAACGATGTTGGCAACATAGCCGGAGAACACTTGCAAAACTGGTTTGTTTTTAATTAAACTGGTTTTTTTTCTTAATTAAATTGTAGTTTGTAAGTAATTAAACTGAATTATATTTGAGATGTTACATCTAATGTTTTTTTTTTCTCATGACTATTCGTTTGATAGAAAAAGTGTTTTCTTTTCTTTATTTATTTTGTTAGGGACAATGAAGCGATAATGATCGAGAAGATTGCAAGAGATGTTTTAGATAAACTAAATGCTACACCGTCTAGAGATTTTGATGGCATGGTGGGACTTGAGGCTCATTTGAGAGAAATGGAGGCTTTGCTAGATTTAGATGATGATGGAGTTAAGATGGTTGCAATCTCTGGTCCTGCAGGGATTGGTAAGACAACCTTAGCTAGAGCTTTACATAATCAACTCTCGAATAAGTTTCAACTTGCTTGTTTTGTGGATAACCTTAGGGTAAACTATAATAGCGGTTTTGATGAGTATGGTTTAAAGCTACATTTACAAGAACAATTTCTTTCAAAGGTTTTGAACCAAAATGGTATGAAGATATGCCATTTAGGTGCAATAAAAGAAAATCTAAGCGATCAGAAAGTGCTTATTATTCTTGATGATGTGAACAATCTAAAGCAATTGGAGGCTTTGGCAAATGAAACTACATGGTTTGGTCCTGGAAGTAGGATTGTAGTGACCACAGAAAATCGAGAGCTTTTGCAGCAACATGGTATCAATAATACATACCATGTGGGTTTCCCATCTAGACAAGAAGCTCTCCTGATCTTATGCAGGTATGCTTTTCGACAAACCTCTCCACATCATGGTTTTAAGGTGCTCGCTGAAAGAATAACAGAGCTTTGTGGTAAGCTTCCTTTGGCACTACGTGTGGTGGGTTTATCTTTACGTGGGAAGAACGAGGACGAATGGGAAGATGTAATAAGTAGGTTAGAAACTATTCTTGATCGGGATATCGAGGACGTACTACGAGTCGGCTATGAAGGTTTAGATGAGAATGAGCAGACCCTATTTCTCCACATTGCAGTCTTCTTCAACAATGAAGATGGTGATATTGTGAAAGCCATGTTCGATGACGGTAACTTGGATGTCAAACGCGGTTTGAAGATCCTAGTCAATAGGTCTCTCATAAACAATTGTAGTCTCACTGGGAATATAGTGATGCACAAATTACTACAACAAGTTGCTAGACAAACCATTCATAAACAAGAGCCTTGGAAACGTCAAATCTTAATGGATCCTCATGAGATATGTGATGTCCTCGAAAATGAAACAGTAATATCTCTTTCTTTTCTCTTTGTTTGACTTCTTGTTAATTATACTTGGTGGAGGCAAAACAAATCCTACATATTGTGCTAACTTCTTCTTTGGAATATTGGTTTAGGGTACTAGAGCTGTGTCTGGCATATCATTTGATAGATCTGATATCGATGAAGTATCTATCAGCGAGAGAGCTCTTAAAAGAATGCCAAATCTTCAATTCCTCAGAGTTTACCAAACAAGAGATGCTAAAATGCATATACCAGAGAAGATGGAATTCCCACGCCGTCTAAGGTTGTTACATTGGGAGGCATACCCAAGAAAGAGTCTTCCTCCGACATTTCATCCTGAATATCTTGTCGAACTCAATATGCGGGAAAGCCAGTTCGAATACCTATGGCAAGGAACCCAGGTCGGTGTTGGAACTTTATATGTATTTTCTCTTCATGTTATATGGTGTTTGACTATCTCTCTGTTGTTTTGTGGTTTTACAGGCGCTTAAAAATCTCAAAAAGATGGATTTATTAGGGTCATCTAACTTGAAGAAACTCCCGGATCTTTCAAATGCTACAAATCTGGAGATATTGGAACTGTCTAAATGCATAAACCTACAAATCATTCCAGCTCACATGAACTTAGTATCGCTTGTACGCGTCTCAATGCTCGGATGCTTCAGATTGAGAGACATTCCCGTTATGTCAACAAACATCGAAGAACTGCATATCACAGAGACAGCAGTTGAAGATGAACCTCCATCAATCAGGCTTTGCTCTCGTCTTAAGGTTCTCAATCTAAGCCGCAGTGTAAAGCTCAAAAGCTTAACACATCTCCCCAAGAGTGTCACATACCTAGACGTAAGATACTCTGGTATCGAAAAGATTCCAGATTGCATCAAAGCTCTTCATCAGCTACAATTCTTAATGATATCAAGCTGCAGAAGACTGAAATCATTGCCAGAGCTCCCTGGTTCGCTTCTATTTCTATTTGCAGATGATTGTGAATCACTGGCGACCGTATTTTTCCCTTTGAACACTCCGAATGCGCGCGTCGATTTCACCAACTGCTTCAAATTGGACCAACAAGCACGAAAAGCAATTATCCAACAATCTTTTTCTCCAGGACTAGGCACGCTCTTACCAGGAAGACAAGTGCCTGCAGAGTTCGATCACCGTGCCAATGGAAATTCCTTGACTATTCCTTCCAATGGTAACAATCCTCTTTATGCTCTCACCAGATTTAAGGTCTGCGTCGTGATTTCCCCTCACCAACAAGAATCTGGTCTTCGTCAGTCTAACCTGTTATTGTGTCGTCACATAGCTAAAGGCGACTTATACCCCGCTGAGAACTCGATCTTCGTACTCAGTGTCACCAAACTTCGAAGGGAACATTTGTGTATATTTATCATTCACCATCGCTCGCCATTTATCGATCCTTCTGATGTAAACAGGGAGATAGTGTTTGAATTCAGCAGCGAACTACAAGATTTCGACATTATTGAATGTGGTGTCCAGATCTTGACGGACGAGTGGGACTATGAATTTGGATTATACCATGACGACATTGAGTTTGCATCCAGCGAAGACGACATTGAGTATGAATCCAGCGAATACGAAATTGAGTTTGAATCCAGCGAGGCCTCTGAAGACGGAATCGAACACGGTGACTACAAAGAAGATGAGTATCTCGAAGGGGGAAAATACACAACAGATTGTTGGAGTTGGCTCTTTCTCTGCTTCGACCTCTCCCAAATTGTGAGAAATGTTGGAAGCTTGATTTCAGGAAGAAGACGACCAAATCCGGACCATGTGTAGTTGAAGCAGTGAGGACCGTACAGATGGTGAAATCTGTGATTTAACAGAAGAAAAGAGTGTTGAAGACTTTGGATCTTGCTTGTGTTGGGTAAGACGACGAAGACGACGTGGCCATCGGCTTAATCCATTGCGTTGAGTCCTTCTAGGTGACATATGGGCTAAAGTTGGGC